GCGCGCGCGATCAAAGCAACGATGCATGTGATATTAGTATCCACAGCTGGTAGTCTCTTGATACACCGTTAAGCGTGATGTGTGTGTTGTATGTGTGTGTGTGTGTGTGTATGTGTGTGTGTGTGTGTGTGTGTGTGTGTGTGTGTGTGTGTGTGTGTGTGTGTGTGTGTGTGTGTGTGTGTGTTTGAGTGTGTGTGTGTGTGTGTGTGTGTGTGTGTGTGTGTGTGTGTGTGTGTGTGTGTGTGTGTGTGTGTGTGTGAAGAATGTATGGGAGAAGTTTTTTTTTAATGTTTTGTTTTCAGTGTTTTCTTTTCTTTTTCTTTGTGTTTAGGAGTAAGATTTAGCACAGGTTTAGGTTATTCGTTTTTTATAGATCAAATTGTCCAATAAAGGCACTTTTCTGTTTTGTCTGTATTTCAATACGGCTTCAACCTTTCGCTTCTATATACATATGCTGATAAATTTCCGTTTATGCAGAAAAAAAACATAAACAGTGACACAGGTGTTGTACTGTATGTACTTTATCATCACCATCATCATCATTGTCATCATCACTGCCATACTTATCATCATCACCATGATTACCGTCACCATTATCATCATCGCAATCATCATTATCAGTATCATCATTATTATCATCGTTACCATAGTTATTTTCATCATTATCGTCTGTATTCTTATTATTATCATTAGTCAAGGTAGGGTCATTGTCATCATAAGAGTAATAAACGTGTCTTATATAGTTGTACTCATAATACTGTTAGTATTATTGCTGTTCTAAACAATATCATCTTCATCATTTTTTTCTTTGGTAGAATTATGACAGAAAAGCACAGTAAAAAAAAATCGGTAAAGTTAACAAGATAGACTCACACTAACAAAAGCTAATATAATATTAATATGAATTAATATTATTATGAGATACTGTACATAACATGATAACGAGAATGATGAACAAAACTGATAATCGTAAATGACACTTTTATCCTAATATAACTTATTTCTGCAAAACGAGTATGAGATGGAATAAGAAGAATCACACGTTTTTACAACAATCTAATAGGTTTGGTAAGTCAGACATGTTAAAACCCTTCGTTATCGTGATATGTAGCTAGCCTAAGTCTCAGGTTAAAGTGCCGCGGTCTCCCTTGGCCGGCAGAGCAACGGACGTGGACCAATGATCAGCAGGTCAGACTCAGGATGTACAGTACAGGAGGTACGTACTCAGTGTCTCTTCCATCACATCACACCGTCTGAGTATACTGACTCTATTCTCGATCTGTGAAAGTTAGAATACAGCCTTCAAAAAATAATTAAATAAATGTGAAAATATTGCCGTTTACTTTCGTTTGACAAAAGAGATTAGATTTACTACGGGGCACACTAAACTCTTAAAAAGAGCACGAATAACAAACAGTAGGCAGAAAAGCCGTTTCAATTTGGCATGGCACAGTATATAATGATATATGTCCGGAGTCAAACACCGCCGCTGCCGCTACGGGTGGTCGGTCGATGCAACACAAGCACCAAGGTCAGCATTCACAGTCTGCAATTTGAGATGCTGGCTTAGACGTTCCCGTGTATGGCTGCAGCATCGTGCTTTCAGCTGGAAAATATAAATATACTGCCTCTTTAAGTAACGCTGGCTGCTGTAAGTAACGGTGGTTCCGTGAAAATAGTGTGAGTAATGAATCACAGAAATTATAATGATAACATCATAACGATCTTTTAGAATATGTGATAATATTACATGGATTGATGACATAATTGTTGATTGGATACAATATATATTCAAACTAAAGGAAAGAAAGAAATTTGAAAAATACAAGAAAGAGAAAGAGAAGGAAGAGAGCTGAATGAAGAAGAAGAAAAAAATGTATATACACACAAGCATACACACATATGCACATGTATATGTATATATATGTATGTGTGATGTATATGTAGACAGATAGATAGATATAGATATGTATATATATAGATATAGATATGTATATACATACACACACACATATATATATATATATATATATATATATCATATATATATATATATATATATATATATATGTGTGTGTGTGTGTGTGTTGTGTGTGTGTGTGGTGTGTGTGTGTGTATGTGTGTGTGTGTTGTGTTGTGTGTGTGTGTGTGTGTGTGTGGTGTGTGTGTGTGTGTGTGTGTGTGTGTGTGTGTGTGTGTGTGTGTGTGTTGAGTGTGTGTGTGTGTGTGTGTGTGTGTGTATGTGTGTGTGTGTGTGTGTGTGTGTGTGTGAAGAATGTATGGGAGAAGTTTTTTTTTAATGTTTTGTTTTCAGTGTTTTCTTTTCTTTTTCTTTGTGTTTAGGAGTAAGATTTAGCACAGGTTTAGGTTATTCGTTTTTTATAGATCAAATTGTCCAATAAAGGCACTTTTCTGTTTTGTCTGTATTTCAATACGGCTTCAACCTTTCGCTTCTATATACATATGCTGATAAATTTCCGTTTATGCAGAAAAAAAACATAAACAGTGACACAGGTGTTGTACTGTATGTACTTTATCATCACCATCATCATCATTGTCATCATCACTGCCATACTTATCATCATCACCATGATTACCGTCACCATTATCATCATCGCAATCATCATTATCAGTATCATCATTATTATCATCGTTAACATAGTTATTTTCATCATTATCGTCTGTATTCTTATTATTATCATTAGTCAAGGTAGGGTCATTGTCATCATAAGAGTAATAAACGTGTCTTATATAGTTGTACTCATAATACTGTTAGTATTATTGCTGTTCTAAACAATATCATCTTCATCATTTTTTTCTTTGGTAGAATTATGACAGAAAAGCACAGTAAAAAAAAAAATCGGTAAATTTAACAAGATAGACTCACACTAACAAAAGCTAATATAATATTAATATGAGTTAATATTATTATGAGATACTGTACATAACATGATAACGAGAATGATGAACAAAACTGATAATCATAAATGACACTTTTATCCTAATATAACTAATTTCTGCAAAACGAGTATGAGATGGAATAAGAAGAATCACACGTTTTTACAACAATCTAATAGGTCTGGTAAGTCAGACATGTTAAAACCCTTCGTTATCGTGATATGTGCCGCGGTCTCCCTTGGCCGGCAGAGCAACGGACGTGGACCAATGATCAGCAGGTCAGACTCAGGATGTACAGTACAGGAGATACGTACTCAGTGTCTCTTCCACTGAGTATACTGACTCTATTCTCGATCTGTGAAAGTTAGAATACAGCCTTCAAAAAATAATTAAATAAATGTGAAAATATTGCCGTTTACTTTCATTTGACAAAAGAGATTAGATTTACTCAGGGGCATACTAAACTCTTAAAAAAGGACGAATAACAAACAGTAGGCAGAAAAGCCGTTTCAATTTGGCATGGCACAGTATATAATGATATATGTCCGGAGTCAAACACCGCCGCTGCCGCTACGGGTGGTCGGTCGATGCAACACAAGCACCAAGGTCAGCATTCACAGTCTGCAATTTGAGATGCTGGCTTAGACGTCCCCGTGTATGGCTGCAGCATCGTGCTTTCAGCGGGAAAATATAAATACACTGCAGCTTTAAGTAACGCTGGCTGCTGTACGTAACGGTGGTTCCGTGGAAATAGTGTGAGGAAGGAAACACAGAAATTATAATGATAACATCATAACGATCTTTTAGAATATGTGATAATATTACATGGATTGATGACATAATTGTTGATTGGATACAATATATATTCAAACTAAAGGAAAGAAAGAAATTTTGAAAAATACAAGAAAGAGAAAGAGAAGGAAGAGAGCTGGATGAAGAAGAAGAAAAAAATGTATATACACACAAGCATACACACATATGCACATGTATATGTATATATATGTATGTGTGATGTATATGTAGACAGATAGATAGATATAGATATGTATATATATAGATATAGATATGTATATATATACATATATATATATATATATATATATATGTGTGTGTGTGTGTGTGTGTGTGTGTGTGTATGTGTGTGTGTGTGTATGTGGGTGTGTGTGTACACAGGCACACACATTGATATTAAGTTAGACTATGCATAGTTGTCAAGCATATTTATAATTCAAATAAAGAAATTCGTATATCATGATACTATATTATATATATATATATATATATATATATATATATATATATATATATATATATATATATATACATACATATATATATATATATATATATATATATATATATATATATATATATATATATATATATATATATATGCATATATATCTACATATATATATATATATATATATATATATATATATATATATATATATATATATATATATATATATGTGTGTGTGTGTGTGTGTGTGTGTGTGTGTGTGTGTGTGTGTGTGTGTGTGTGTGTATATGTATATATATACATATATATATATATATATATATATATATATATATATATATATATATATATATATATATATATATATGCATATATACATACATATATATATATATATATATATATATATATATATATATATATATATATATATATATGTGTGTGTGTGTGTGTGTGTGTGTGTGTGTGTGTGTGTGTGTGTGTGTGTGTGTGTGTGTGTGTGTGTGTGTGTGTGTGTGTGTGTGTTCATTTATATATATTTATATATATATATATATATATATATATATATATATATATATATATTTATATATATATATATATATATATATATATATATATATATATATATACATATATATATATATATATATATATATATATATATATATATATATATATATATATATATATATATATATATGTGTGTGTATGTATGTATGTATGTATGTATGTATGTATGTATGTATGTATGTATGTATGTATGTATGTATGTATGTATGTATGTATGTATGTATGTATGTATGTATGTATATGCATATATAATATATATGTATATGTATATGTATAATCTAAAATAGTTTACCCAAAAATTTGAACATAGAAAATGGCTATCACTCAGGTTGTTTATAGGAGAAACTTAACTTTACAAAAGTCCTTATTTAAGTAACCTGTTATTAATTTTTCCCTTTATTCGGAGCAGGTGATTCATAACATCGAAAATAAATAATTAATGGTAATAGGAATATGCAGCGAAGTTTTTTTACGGTCTCTGGTTCCACACTGTTATCGATCATTGATTACAATATTACATAAAAGATATTTGATCTGTGTATCCGAAATTTTGACAATATTTTCATAGAAATAGAAGAAAAATAGAAATGTTTACTACTACCAGTTTAACTACAAACACCATCCTGGAGAGAGATGAAAACGGAAAATGGACTGATTAATCAAATATTGACCTATGGAGAATAATAACAATG